CGTCCGTATCGATGGATACCCCTATCGTCCGTGGTCTATTGTTGATGTTGATGTGGTGATGTTTGTTTCTGAGAAATGGGCTACCAGTACAACAAGTATAAGGTATGTATTCCTCCCACGTCTTTGGAATCCGGACCAGCCAAGGCGTCGGAACGCGGCGACGGGCATCAATATAAAGATTGCACCTTTGATCTCTTTTAGGCAGAATGTCTGGCACTTGGTCGCCGGTCGGAACCGCTAAGCATTCTCGCCAATGTATTCTCTCTAGGGCCTAGACGCCGTCTTTTTATTCGGTGCCTCTCTCTCCGCCAAACATGGATTACATTTTTTTTATCTTTTTTTTTTTCTGTCTTTCTTTATCTTGAAAACAAACAGGGGCTCGCATTTGCCCCCCATTTCCCGGCATCGAGGGTATCCATCAGTGCCATGTGTTGGAATTGGCGGATGGTGGGAGGCAGAGTGGGATTTTCGAGACTGATAGAGTGGGATTAACGGGACCCTGAATGCGGCGCCGGCGAGGGCCGTTGAACCGTCTCCAACAAAGTCTCAATGTCGAATCGACAAATCCCAAGGTATTGCGGGGGTACACGATCACACCCCGGAATAATTTGATCTTCTCGGCCATGCAAGAAAGCAAAGATTGTTTTAATTGGTCCCAACTGCATCTCTGTGGATCGCTTGTCGGAACGACGACTCCGCATCGCCTGAAAAGAGTGGCGCCGCTGGACCGCCTCACGGCCCGCCATTCCCAAGCCTCGGGCGGGATCCGAAGTCCCAAAGCCCCGTGATTCGCTACGCTCCACGGCCCCGGCGGTCCTGGCACGCCTGGTTCAAGGCTTGGTGTCTTTTTTGGTGCATTGTTTTAGCGCGCCCCGGAAATTTTTCCCATGGCAATCCCAATTGCTTGTTGTTTGTTGTCCATGTCCAAAAACCCGGGAATTTTTTGACTCACAAAATCTCTATCTATACCTCCAAATTTCCACCTCATTTTCTCTTACTTCTTTTCTCTCTCTTTCTTTTTGGTTTTGCAAGATTCAAATTCTTAGTTTCAACTTTTTTAATTGCCAATCGTCTCAGATTTCCTGGGTCCTCGCTTCCTTCCAAGGGTCCTACATGAATTTGGTGGGGCATCGGGAAATCTTCGGATTATACATCAAATCATCAACCACCACCAAGGCGACCACCCGATTCTCCCGTGATGAGCACTTTCCTTTGGTTTCTTGCGCAGACGGCACAGGGTGACAGGCTCCGAAAAAAATGCCCACTCTCCGAGTTTCCATCATGCTTTCTATGACCTCGCTTCCCGGGTGCTTTGCTTACCTCGAATCAATTGCCTGGTTCAGCCGGCCAGACGATCCGGACATTTTTTGGCCACCGAATATCTTCAAAAGTCTAGATGCATAAACTTTAATTTTCAGCTATCTTCTCCTTTTTTCATATCTCTTTGTTGGTTTGGACCTTCTCCCCTTTCCCCGTTCCCCGTTCCCCGTTCCCCGTCCCAATCCTCATCCCCATCCCAAACAATGGCTCTTCCCGAACACAACATCACCACACCTTCACCCTTCTAGGTTGCATGTTCCTCCCGCCCAGCATCCGCTATACCCAAAACTTCTCGGAGGCTTTCCATCTCCCATTTATGGCATCGTGTCTTTTTCTTTAAAAAAACAATTGTCTCATGAGCCGAGTCGTAGTAATAAACAATCCACTCTCGCTGGCGAGTTGCTTTCCAAGTTCATCGTTGGCTTCTTCTGGGCCTCGTCTCTTGCCTTGGAAACGTAAACCTACCTAACCACATCCCACGCACGTTGCAAACCGTCCGTCCGTTACTACGCTCATCCATGATCAATTCGCTTCCCCGCAATCATGCGTCACTGTCTTGTCCGGAACGGTAACATCTCTAGTAGCTAGGAAGATAACATAAGCGGGACGTTTTCATAAACTGTAGCCGTTGGTCATAACCGCTTTTCTCCTTCCTTCTGGTTACCTTGAACCATCATGAAAGCCGAGGTTATCATATCGTTACCATGAGCACGGTCACCATCACGATCAAATGTCGATCGGGTCTCCCAAAGAAATGGAATCACCGGAGATGATGTCTGATTTCAGATCTTTTCAACCCCAGGAGATCAGTCACAAGACCGGATGCCCCGTTCCCGAACAGTCCGTCAATACAACGGTCTTTGCTCCGTCAAAACTTTCCTGTCTGTCAAAGTCCCAACTCCCAGGTCATGAAAATGGAACCTCTGGAAGCTCTGCAATAAACTCAGCCCCAACTTCGGTACCATCCATCTCAGCTCGTGCCGTCCCATCTTTGTTATCTCTCACGGTTCGTCTCGAAAAAATTTCATCTGAAGGCACACCCTCCTTTTACATGAACCATCCATCTCATCATCCCGGGTCCGAAACTCCCAACGACATGTTCATTGCCGGTCCCGATCCCGTACCACCACCACTCCAAAAATAGATATATATGCTCACGTTGGATGGTTTTTTTATCTTGACTTACACATACAATCCTGTCTCAAAAAGAGGCTCGAGCTTATAGTACGTATGTAAACCCCACTTTGGACCAAAAAACGGGCACTATGATACGATCCAAGCCACACATGACTTGGTTATGGTTCCGTGACTTGAACTAGTTCAAAGGTACGGTAACCTACGCACGCGACCTTGCTTATGGAGGGAAAGAAAAGTTCCAAAAAACACCCCCACGCTTTATCACGCCTTTTTCGCCAGATAAAGCGGCTCGTGTCGTTGTTCTATGACATGTGTGTCGTAATCAAGACCCCACATATTCATAGTATAGTATCCATTGCCGTTGTTGATTGCCGAGCTGTATGTAAATATTTTTTTCTTTCCCGCGGTTTCCTGCATAAGGATTGGTGCCAGCCCCTCGGGTTCCCAAGTTAGAAGGACCTTCTTTATTCTGTAAGCTTGTGACTTTCAAAAATTCCTACACTAAATCTTGACTCGAGGAATGATAGGTTGAATGACTTGAAAAAATGTCCAAGCGTCATTCTAAACACAAAATGTAGGACCTGACACATCGTTTCTCTCGTTGAAAATTGTTTCCGGTGTCGAAAAGTCCATTCTGAAACACTTCGGTAAAATGAAAACGTGCGAGCACACACACATCAAACAAAAAGAAGTTGCCAAGAACAGCACCGAAGGGGAAAAAAAGAAAGTTTGTTTATATAATCAGTCGATCCGAACTATAGATAAACGAATTCCATTTGTCTTTAGCGATGGGATGGGTATAAACCGGGGAGTTATTAGGAAGATAGGAGACAAATTGATTACAAGTGCCTCAAGAAAACTGGAAAAACATTTAAGCGAAAAAAATCTGAATTATATAACGTGAAAGAAAGGAAACCCAGATGGCATTCCCCAAGTAATCAATCCGGGACTTTCGAAAAGTTTTGGCCAAAAGAGCCCATCTCCCCCAGAGAGTATGTAAAAGGGAACCATCCACAATAGCAAAAGAATCCCCAAAGTATTTGCAAGGAAAAGCAATCTTTCTCAATCCTGTTAAGTTTTTTTTTCCATGCCCCAACTCCATCCCTCCCCAAAAATATCACATCCCTTCAAGTCTCAAGAACTGCAACCCATTCCTCCTGAACCTCCGTTTCACCCCAACCAAGCTTAATCCTCCGCCACAGGAGTAGTATCCTCCGTCACATCCTCAGTAGTTTCCTCAGTAGTATCCTCCTCCGTAGTATCCTCCGTCGTAGTATCAGTCGGCTCAGTAGGAGGAGTAGTAGGTTTTCCAAAATACCCATGGAGGTAGTAGTAAGGATTCCAGCCAAAGTAATAGGGGGCCGGAGCTGCTTCAGGACTGGGGACGGCGACACCGACGACGATGGTAGAAGATAAGACGGCTAAGAGAGCTGCAGTGGTGATTTGGAACTTCATCTTTGGTTGCTTGTGTTTTTGTGTAGAATGTGTGTAGAATGTGGATGTAGAGAGAGACTGCACGTGTGTAGAATGTGTGTGTAGAGATAGTCTGTGTGTAGACTGTAGAATGTCAAGGTAGAGGGTAATTCCACTCGTTTGTATATCACTCAAATGACAAAGATACTTCTATTCTGACCAGTATACAAACTGTATATCATTTGACCCCCTGACTATCTCCCGCGTTTCTCTAAAAGTTTCATTATTGATTGCCCCTATTCAGATCCCTAAACGGAGTTGAATAGCAGGCACATGGCTTTCTCTCATCTTTCGTGGACCCCTGACTTAAGTCCTTCTCTGCTTTGTTCTAAAGGCCTATTTCCTACATTCTTTCTAGTCAGAGTGTAGATGACCGGTTTTTCGTCGCCACACAGGAGACAAGAGATCAAGTTTCTAGGAGGGATTTTTCGCGATTAAGGGCACAACCGGCGATCCCTTATGCACCTGGGTTGGAACAGTTGAAAATCGGCAGAGTCTAGGTTGTCGATTGCCCAGATATTGAAACAATCTTGCTGACAATGTCCAAACGAGGTTTGCTGAACATTGCCCCTGAGATGGGGAACCCTCAACAATGGCACTAGAATTTCTCTCAACTCCAGAACAAAAAATTTCCCGTAGATTCTACCTCCATATTCGTGTCCCTCTCATATACACTGTACAGCAGCACACTGATCGTAGATAATCATTAGCCTGCATTCTAAAAATTATGCTTTACTCCTGAGAAAATGTCAAGATTAAAAAAGCTCACAAAGTTAATCTCAAGTCACCAACACTTTTTCCACAGAAACCTGCATTTCTTATTGACAAATATGCATGTCAAATACAGCTTCGAAATGAAATAACCCATAACTAACACTATCTAGACGATATAAATAATCTTGGGAAAGGAGACATGGATAAACTTATAGGGTGTGTGGTTTGTACTAGCAATTAAACGACAATCAACCTGAACGAACCAAACCATAGGAAATATAACTCAGAGGGAGCGAAATATGCAGAAACAGGCATTAAATTATTTTAGTAGTGGAGATTGAAAAAAAGAAAAAGAATGGACGAGCCCGGAATCGAACCGGGGACCTTCCGCATGGCGGGATCTCAAACTTGAGATGATGCTAAGCGGGCGCTCTACCAACTGAGCCACACGCCCTGTATCGGGGAGTTGGTTGATGAGCGGACCCTCAGTTTACCTTATTACGTGCGCATTTCCAGACTTCCAAGGGAATTAAAAAAAAAAAAAAAAAAAAAAAACCTATTCCCAGTTATACTGACATTGGAGTTGCTGTTTGTATGCATGGTAATAATCCATTACTTCCACGTTCAGCTGCTTCGTATTGCAGCCATGAGTCATCATCATATACACTAAATGCTTGTTTACAAAAAACACAAACATGCGCCAGCTTTATGCATATCCATTCTCAGACAACCAGGCCTTGATACCCTTGGAGTCTCTCTCCTTGTAGGCTGCCCTGCCCCTAACCTTGTCCTTGACTTGCTCCAAGGTTCGGTCAAAGCCCTTGGTCTCTACGCCTGAAAAGAAAGTCTCGATATCCTTCAGGCTCACATAGTCGACAAACTTGCCCAAACTGACATTAACCAGACGGTCAATCAGGATGGGGTTTCCACCCAGCTTGACGTGGAGTTGGTTCCAGTTCTCTTTGAGGTAGGTCCAGATGAGCGGTCTAGCCACACGGTTGCTGGCCATTCCGCCAGCGAGAATATGCATGTCGGCACCGGGGACCGAGTCAGCTGGGGCCGCAGGGGGAGAGGGGTTGAAGAGGAAGGGAAGGAGAACGTCCTTGATGAGTCCCTCGTCGCTGGTGTGGCTCAATGCTTGAAGACAAATCTCCTTGCCGTCAATAGCGGGCGTGGTATACCACTCCTTCTTCAGTGCGGCCACAGCCTCGGCCGGAGTCTTCACAACCGCCGAGCGATAGACGGGGGCTCGGAGGTTGGCAGGAATTGGCGACTCGGTTGGGTTCGCCTGGTAAGCAGACCAGCGCTCAAAGGCAGCCTGACGGACCCTGTAAACACGGTTAGTAATTATTGATCACAAAATTTGCAAGTGAAAACCTACTCTTCGTGGCTGTTAGCAACCGCCGTGAGAAGCAGCCTCTTGCGCAACAGAGTAGTGTTGAAGTCCTCGCCCTGCTTATCCTGCCAACCAACCTGCTTCAGACCCTTCTCAATGAGCTCGAGAGTGAACTTCTCGAGTCCAGCCTTGACCTGCTCATCATCCCCAAAAATCGCCTTAAGAGTTCCCAAGGAGTCCAAAGCCTGGCTCAGCACACGGTAGTGAGTCTCATTCTTGAGACCCTGAAGGAAAGACAACAAAGCAGCCGTGGTGCCGTATCCAGCAAAGGCGAGGTCGGCAGCGGAACCAATGATGAAGATCTTGTCCTCGGTGGTGAGGTGGTCAAGCTGGGTGCCGAGGACCTTGAGACGGGACTCGGGATAGTTGACGCGGTAGAAGCCAGTTGCACCGGCGTTGAGCTGGTAAAACTCATTACTGACGCCGTCTATCTTGTCCTCCTTGCTGGTGAGAGCGAGAGGGGCGATATCCTGGGAACCAGTCTTACCCCTCAGCGCAAGAGGAACCCACCATGTGGTCTCGTCATCTTCGGGCTTGACATCTCCAGTCGACAGGAAACGAGACTGCTTGACAGAGATGCTCTGGGAGTCCTCAGTAACGGTCAACACGGGGAAACCAACCTTTTCGATCCAGTTTTGCATCAGAGTGTTCACGTCAACACCGGACGCTTCAGTGAGAGCTGCCCACAGTGCCTCGGTCTTGGCGTTTCCGTACTGGTGCTTCTTGAGGTAGATGGCAATACCCTTGAGGAAAGTCTTAATGCCCAAATGGGAAGCCAGCATGCGGATCATTGAGCAGCCCTTGAGGTAGCTGATCTTGTCAAAGATCTGGTTCACATCAAGAGCATCGCGAACTTCGACTTGGATGGGGTGTGACGAGCGAACGGCATCCAGAGTGAAAGCTTGATCCATACCCTCGTTGATGAACTGAGGCCACACATCCCACTCGGGGTGCAAGTGATCGGTAGCGAGCCAACCGGCCCAAGTAGCGAAACCCTCATTCAGCCACAACTCATCCCACCAATCCATGGTGACGAGGTTGCCGAACCATTGATGAGCAAGTTCGTGAGCAACGACGTAGGCAATTCTGTTGCGGAATCTCTCCTCGGAGAGCTTCTCGTCAAAGAGGATGGCCGTCATGCGGTAGGTAACCAGACCCCAATTCTCCATGGCACCGTGAGTAAACTCGTGTACAGCAAGGATGTCACTCTTGGGAAGGGGATAGTCAATCTCGAACTGCTCAGAAAAGTAGTCGATGATCTTGGGGGCATGCTGCAAAGCCCATTGACCCTGCTCTTTGAGGCCACGGGTAGTATAGACGCGAACTGGAACCTTTTTGCCATTGTACACACGATCGGTTGAGGCCTCAATGTACTCGAAATCTCCGACAGCCCAGGCGAGGAGATAGGTGCTCATGACTGGGCTCCGCTCGAACGAGACAAGCTTCTTGCCAGGGCCGGTTGCCTGGGTCTCCTTCACGGGCATATTGGACAGAGCCACCTGATCATCGGGAATCTCAATGGCAAAGTCAAAGGTAGATTTGAGGTTGGGCTCGTCGAAGCAGGGGAAAGCACGGCGGGCATCGCAAGACTCGAATTGGGTGCTGAGCATGTAGTAGAACTCGTCGTCGTGTGGAACGCTGGCGGCGGGAGGGGCAGCCGGCTTGTACTGACTGCGGTAGAAGCCAGCCATATCGTGATTGAGCTCACCGGTGAACTCAATGGTCAGCGAGACCTTGGGAGATGCCGGGAGCTGATCGGGGAACTTGATGGTGGCTCGTTGAGACTTGGTGTCAATCGAAAAGTCGCTTGACTTCCATGACTGGTCGCTCTTGCTTTGGCTGATGACGAGTTCAGAGCTGTGCAGGTCGAGTTGGAGGGTATTTAGGACAATCTCGGAGGTGGGCTTGACAAGTTCACCGTTGATTCTGACGACGCCCTTGTAGGACCAGCTCTTAAAGTCGAGATCCTTAATGACCACGTCATAGTGAAGGGGCTTGAAGTTATCGGGAAGAATGTCTCTGTCGGTCATGTTTGCTCGTCTCCGTTGGTGTGACGCGTGGGAACAGTTACGACGAAAGATGGCAAACGGAGTGGCTGCAGAAGAGGAGGAGGGACGAATGGGGAGTCGGCGCGGGGTAGCTTTGTATGAAGGAAGCGTCGCCAAGCTGTGTAACGGGGCGACGGCCCTGAAAGGTGACAAGATGTTTGGTTTAAAAGTCGAGGGTATGTGGAAACGTCCTCTACTGAGAACGGTTGAGGTTGATCTGAGCATTGGAGGAAAACCAAAAGGAGAGTGAGAGGGGTTCCGAAGGGTCCTTCTTGAGAAGGCACCACCTCTGGGACTCCCGATACCTACTAAGAATGCAACACCCCACCTTGATGACGGAAGGTGCGGGCAAACTGTAACAATTGGAAGTTCGCGAACGGCAGTTGCTTTCTTGATGTAATTTTTACTTTTTAATCTCCAAATGAGGAAGCCCCGAGTCTAACCGAACTCAATTGCATAATTCTTGACAAACAGGTGAAAAAAGCAACAGCTGATCTGAATCAGATTCAATAACAAGAAGAAACAGCTTCCAGAATCAGATCAGGGATGGAAGCTCCATCGAAGCAATCAGCGATTCCACATGCGATGGACGGTGGGGTTTTGGTTCCACCACAGCTGTCATCACTTATGTACTTTCTTATCTGGCACTCAAAAGGAGAACAACCGCTATTGTTATTGCTATAGCAGCTTTCATATCGTAACGATGAGATACAGAGAGAGAGAGAAAAAAGTGCAAAACATGCAAAAGAGTACAAGGAGGACCATGGTGATCCAATTGCTCTCGAATGTCATTTCTTCCAGAGAACCCAATCTCCCAAAAGAAAGCAATCCCCAAAACGCCATGAACAAAATGCCATGTCCGAATGAAACCAGAAAAGAAAAAACGAATGGTGTGTTGAATCACAGCCCATATGCACTTGGCCCGCCCTCCATTCATCCCCTCAATGCGACTCTGCAAGTCAAAAAGTACCGAGTGCAGCACAGGATGATGGCAATGCAACGAAACAGAAACGATAAAAAAGACCCCCTGCCGTATGCTTGACCATGCACATCGAAAAGAAAAGGAAAACAAAGAAAGAAAAGAAATCCCGCTCATCATCGTCTCTACGATCTCTCAGGAGACCCTTCCCTCTCCACAGCCTCAGCAATCGTGTCCCACCATGGAGCATGTGCAGCCCTGTCGACTGCCGACACCTTGCCTATCATGTCGACCATATCCCTAACTTGCTCCACAAACTCAGCCAGACCTAGGCCGGCCAACTTCTCACTGGCCGTGCTGGTAACCTTGACCTTCTCACTGGTGCTGGCGGCAGTCAACCGAGCAAAAATATGGCCTCTCAGCCTGCCAAGCAGCAGCCGCAACACCGGCTCCCGTAGTTCGGTTTCGTTCTTTGTCGCCGACTCGGCACCAGCAGCCAGGAACTTGTTGACAAGTGCCCTCAGGTGCACCTTTGTAGCAGAAGGCATGGAACGACCTGACTCGAGAGCGGCCATGATGCCCTCTGCTGCAACCTCCAGAGTAATCTCTGCTTGCTGCTCACTGCGTTCCAGCACGAGCATGATACGCTGGGCTTCGTTACGCCACGGCGCACGTACATCCCGCTTGAGCAGGTTCTTGCACTGCAGCAGAATCGCCCCTGTGGTGATGATGGCTCTCGTGAGGCGGCCGGCGGCGATGACTCGCTTTTGATCGAGGAGGAGCATTTCCGGCATCTGTGAGTCTGGAACTGGCGAAAGCTGAGTGAACAAGTCAACGAGGAGCTGAGCATAGATTCGGTTGGCGGTTGGCCGACTGGCTGTGTGGCTAACACCTTCGGGGTCTCTCCTTGCAGCTTCCGCCAAAAGCTTTTGTCGTGCGTTCCTCCATGCCTGCGTCGCGGCAGACAAGTCGAACCTCTTGGCTTCCATGTCGGCCGCAAAGTGTTTCGCCTCGTATGCTGGTGCTTGTTCGACGAGTCGAGGCGCAAGCAGCTGCAGCATGTAATTGGCGTAATCGCTGAGCATGACGTC